AAATAATTTTTTATTCGTAAAATTTTATGAAAATAACAAAAAATGGATGATAAAGAATTATAGAGATTCCAATCACACGACACAATAAAAAAATCACAAAGATTGTATATTCTCCAAACTTAGATTATGTTACAACTTGAAATGATGGAGACAAGTTAGCTTGTATATATTCTATTAAAGATCGAATAAATCTGATATTTAAAGGTTACTATCTACGAATAAAACAGGTCAAACATCATCTTTCTAATGATGATTCTTTAGAAAAGATCAGATCTTATTTTTAAAAGCTACAGAATATGAACTAAACTTATTAGATACAAAACATATTGCATTAATGCCTTATAATCTCTATAATCCTGATGATAGAGATCTCAGATATGCAGGTTAGATACCATTAGTAATCATTATAGTGTAAGCAATCTAAATAGTCCGATGCTAAGATAGAGATGTGATCCGTTACTATTTTTTATTTTAAAAACCAGGTTAAATCGAGTTTGGTATATAAAAAAAATGGCTTGGGTTATATTTCTATGCTAAAGGAAAGCAAAACTTTGGCATTAAATTTATAACTTACCGGATTTATTCATAAATTTTTTTAGAGATTGAAATCTTAAGCTATACATTTATGATCCCAAAGTTTTTGTTTCTCTTAATAATTCTATAGGTTGCATTTACTATGCCCTGAAATAACAGTATTTCAAAATACATGATAATATATTCTAAATTTTAATACTTCAATATGTTTATGTACTAGCACTTTTTTTATTTGAACACGATGAAGTAAGACCCAACAAAATAAAAATTTTAAAACCCAGGGATAATAAAAATGAAATAATTGAAAATAACTTTATTGTTTACGAAAAAGTTGATTATTATTTACTTGTTAGGGGGGAAAAAAATTCTACGAACGATGATAGTACTAACAGTATCACAGGCTATATATTCGAATTATGTAGAAAACTTAAAAAAATATTCAGAATTTCAAATTATAATTATTCTAAAGACCATATTGTGCTCTATAAGAATGGATGTATTTTTATATACAAACATGATACATATATTATCATGGCATGGAATACTATAACATTGGAATTTTTTACTCATTTGACTACAGAATAGGAAATTGATCGCATATGTAACTTAGTTATAAATAATAAAGCAACTTTATTGGCTATTTGGTTTGATAAAAATATATATATATATTTGACTAAGCTTCAGTTGATGATATCATTCTGTAAGTCATTATTTGTTTTTATTATCCTATAACAAGAAGCAAATATTTTTTTTTTCTAATTTTCTTGTTACTAATGTTTTGTTAGGTAAAGTTGATTATGATATAACAAAGTGTTATTTTCTTTTACTTGATGATTGTGAACTTGATGATTGTGAATGTTTTGATGATCGTGAATGTTTGATTGTCATGTGCAAGCCGAATCATTCCTATTTATTAGGTCCTTATATTTTCATTGAAAATACCATAAAGAAACGGAGGAAATATCTGGATTAGAATTAAAACAGCCATATATAATTAATTATAGAATGGCTTTTTATATTAACAAAAATCAATTGAAAATCCAAAACTTTTTTGAATCTTGGAGGAAAAAGCTTAATAATATAAACTCTATCTTGGTTGGAAAAGAAGTATTAGAAGAAATTGAGAAAAATAACGAATTTACTGAATCTATTGAATCTAATTATGATAAATGGAATATCAACAAATGGAATATCGAAAATAATCCAGATAAAATTTTATTATCTTATAATAGTATTGACAATATTAAGATCGACATACTATATGCTAAAATTAAAGCAATTAAACTGTTAAAGAATAAAGATTTATTAATGAAAGTAGGTGACAAACCTGAAGATCTAAATATATATATCTGGACTTTCAAGGGAAAGTCAAAAATATGATTAAATTATTTTTGGAAAAATTCAGCATCATTTTAAGAGAAGTTTCAAAAGAAGTATAAAAAATGTTCACTATATTTATCCTCTCCAGAATTTGAATTTGATTTTAATGAATTAATGATTGAAGATTATATTAATTCACGGTTTAAATTAAGTCTTTATGGAACAGAGTTAATGGAACATTTATTGAAAAAAAATAAATTCGAATTTATTAAAAAGATATTGAAAAGTATAATTAAATTGACCATTAAGAATGATGATAAAAATTTTATATCAAATCTTCTATTAATACAGATAGTTACTGATAATTTTCGTACATTAAGTCAATATCCTGAGATTATTAATTGGTTTTTATCTAGAATAGCTTTTTTTGTACCTGATGATACATTATATGAAATAGTTAATCCAAATTCTACTTCCAGTCATCTTTAAAAATTTGGCGAATACCCTCGTATTTTTAATATTTCTAATATTTTCTTAATTTATTTTAAAATAGAAAACTTTTTAAATTCTATGCTCACATTTCTCTCATTTCCCTTGAAATTTATAATATCATATTTTTCATTAAATGAACAAAAACAAACTATTAAATTGGTTTTTTCTTAATAGGACTTACCAATTACCCTAAAGAATCTACCCTCACACAGCCAATTTATGATTTATTAGATCAACTTAATAATATTAAAAAAATTCCATTATATATCATATTTTTAATGGCTCGATTTTTTTATCCATTTGATATTAATCCTTTTGGCTTTTCACCAAAGACTAATCTATATGAATTATGGATAGGTGAAGCACTTCTTATTTATAAATGGAATACATATAGAAGGACTATCCATATTGTACATTTATTTATTAATACTATTTGCTTTCTTTGTTTGGTGCTTACTGTGATTTTTTATGATCATATTACATCATTTATTCTACTACCTCTACTACACATTGTTTTGATAATTACATTCATATATTATATCTTGGAGTCCGCATATGTTTATTATTCATTTATTCATGATAAAAAAATAAATGTTTGAGGCTTTCTTGGTATGTCTAAAAATTTAAATAAATGGCTTTATTGTGAAAAATTTAGTAACATTATTTTAATCTTTTTTAGTTGATACTACAGCAATGATTTTTGTTTCTGTTTCAATATCTGATATAATTCAAAAAAATTTAAATTTATACTCAGGCTGGTATTATAAAATCAATAATACTTATATTGATCTTGGTGCACAGACTACTGTCACGATTTTATTATATGAATTAAAACTTATGTTTAATCTTCATGTTTTTGAATTTTTTGGAATTGAATTTGCAATTATATTTGGTGTATTCAATAATATCTTGCCTTTTTTGGTTATTCTTGGGCTTTTTACATTTATCTTCATAAGTTCTCTACATATTTTAACAAAATTAAATACTAATTCACGTGATTCAAATACTTGGAATTTAACGGATTATATTATTATTCCATATTTCACATTGACTGGTAATTTGTTTTTAAAATGCTAGCTTAATAATTCATTTATATTAATATTATCATTTTATTAGATAAATCTATATTAATTAGCGTAACTCCGTTTTATTAAAATAGGTAACAATGATATAATTTCATCATATGCAACATATGAAAATGATCGGAATATTACAGTACAAGGAATTATATTAATAATTTTATTAATTGTGATTTTATTTTTTATTACTATTTATATGATGAATCTATTTATTGGATACTTAGCAATAAACTTAATGATTTAAACAATAAAAATTCCTTTTTTAATTATAAAGCAGAGGTAGGTTTTTTTTTTTTAAATTTGCATTTAATAAATTAATTTTAATATTTATTGATAATATATTTGAAGACTTTGTCTAAAATTGAACGAAGTTATTTGTTTCAATATCAAAGGCAAAGAAAAGATTGGTTTCCGGAAATTATGTAAGTCAAATTTTATGAATAAAAATTAATTATCTTTTAAATTTTTTTAACAATTTCTCTTTAAATATAAGTTTTTTTGAAGCACATCTGGATGAACTTCGTAAAGTAGTAAAACAAATTCAAAATAACACTTGGCCAGGTTTTTATAAACCATATATCTCCCCCGTTCTTTTGGAAGCAATTCAAATGAAATCAGAACTCGATCACGTTGAAGACAAGGCCACACAAACTAATCCAGACAAGGCAACACAAACCGACTAGCTTTATACATAATAATTTTATCTATTAGTTAGGTTAAAAAAATATAATTTAACGCCATAAAAAATTCTGAAATTAACGATTATCACGAGTTTAATTTTATTAGTTGAGATAACACTCTAATGAACTGTATATACCTAGCACGATCTGTAATAACCTATACTGTACTGTATATGTAAGCATAGACAATTAGGACAAAGTTAATAAAATAAAATAATTTTTAGGTTTAAAACAAATGGGGGGGTGCCAGTAGAAACCAAGCATCTTGTTTCTAAGTAAATTTTTTTAAAACTTTGAACTAAAATATCTCAA